AGCTTTGCGCATTAGTATACATAAATGTCAGCTTTGAGTTCTTGCGCGGTCCATTTTTAACCCCTACGCAGTCTACTGGAGTAGCTGCGCGGTCATTCGAATCGGTTTGACCCATGAGGGGGCAGAATGTCGTTCGACTATCTGTCCTTGTATATCGCTAGATTCGGTTCCCCATTGAGTCTCCTTTCTCTCAATGCTAGAACTACCTTGCGGCGTTTCATCATATCGGCAAGAGAGTAATCCGGCTGGAAAAAACACAGCCTTTCGGGAGTGCTTCAATCGAAAACGCCTAGACAGTAGAAGTTTTGCTTCCTCGTCACTGTCTAGGACGATTTTGAGTGGTCGCGGCCTAGTCTGCAGAGTTATCTTTAGGCGACTTCCAAGGCGGAAGATCTTTTGGTAGAAGATTCCCCCAGATGGTTGCAACAGCTCGTTTAGGAGCTCTTGGAATAACCCTAAATCAGCGTCATTTCTTCCCTTGGGAGTGTTACCAGAGGACTCGGGTAGTCCCTGGATTATGGTGCGGTTGCCCTTGTCAGGGACGCCTCTATTAATTGCGGATTTTTGGTTATTATCTGACAAATTATAATCGTCAGATGGGGCTGGAAAAATGGGAATGTCGAAGTTGGTACGCCTTGTCGTTAAGGTTAACCTTCATAGCAGACTACAGGCACTCCTCTTAACTTTGTATAGGCCTTCAAATCATGATAAGGAAAAAGCATTATACAGTAGTCGCCGGCTATTATGCCCACCTCGGGCCCAGACCAAATTGGGCTTAATAAGCGGCGGGCTTATTAACCGTGGGCTTAATGCAGCAGTCGCCGGTTAGTAAGTCCACATCGGGCCCAGACTAAATTGGGCTTAATAAGCGGCGGGCTTATTAACCGTGGGCTTAATAGCCGGCGACTACTGTATGAGCAAACTTTTTCCGTCACGGGAGACATTACTAACAAAGACGAATCGGGAACTACCATTCCTAGCTCATAAGCCGTCCTCGACCGTTATATTAGAAACCCAAGCTCGGAAAAGTTGACATTTTAATTCAGAGATTGACGCTCTGGCGGTTGAGCCATGAATGCAGCATTCTGGATGGTCAACCACGGAAAAAAAATATCAGAAGCTTTTAGCTCAGTATCCCTCGTTTTCGTAATTTTTCTCAGTTATTTTTGATGGCTGGGGCGCCGCTAGTAAGAACTAAATACAAGAGCTTCAGAGTAAAGCTTAACACTCCAATTTCATTATGAAAACAGACTGCATCATCGCGTTTCACTTCCTTCGTAAGTCGTTCGAGTATGTTGGGCCTGTTTGCAACTGTGTCCAGTACTAGAACAATTTTTATAAAGAGGAATGCACATCGCAAGCCCTGAAAGCCGCCTGCTAGACCCCGGTATTTTGAACAGAGACACAAACTGTTTCTGTTCACCTCCGCCGAACATGCGACATGAAGCTTACCGAATTTTTTGCTCAAGTTCTGGAACTGGCTATCCATCTCGGATCTGCAGCACTGCAGTAGGTTGATGGGCTCCTGTAGCTGTTGTGACAGCCAGGTAGAGGAAATCGACTCGATAACCTCGCGGTTCTCGCGATCTAGTAGGTCTACGCGTTCAAGCTTCTCGTGAAGGCGCTGTACGTCGTCGTGGTAGACAGAAGCGACTGAAATAATGGTGCGCGCCTGTTTACTCAGCTTCGATTCTGTTGATTGATGCTGTGAACGTAGAAACTCTTCTTCCTTCCACTTCCGTTCAATCTTCTGAAGGCGACGCGTAGTGGCGTGCTGAAGTACAAAGGAGAGAAGAAAAGTCTAGAGCCTGCTAACTTCTCAGGTCTGAAAAGCGTCTTAATTAGATTTCACCGTAGTTAACAGAAAATATTTGAGCGCTAGACCGTGAGGAATTATGTTTCTAGCATAGAATGAAATGCAGAGTCGATGGAGTGAATGTTATCAATTACAAAGATAAGAATGATGACTGGAGCTAAATAAAGGGATGCAGAAAACTAGTCAATTAAATCAGCTATTCAAGCTAATTCGGCTGTGGTAGGCGCAAAGTACACTGGGTAATAGTTGACCTACAGGGAAGAACGCACTGCTTGTTTTGCCAAATTGCCCTGGAAGCACAAATACAGACTAAATATGTTGGAACCACTTAGTTTGTGAAGCATTCATTCATCATAACGATAAAGAGGCAATGTTTGCGTATATTATGCCTGTTGTGACACAGGCCTCTTTCTCCGACATGGGGCAGTCTCGACTACTATTGCTACATCCGGGACCGTATTCTCAATCGAGAGGAACTATGTTGGGGAGGATGGCTGCGGTGGATTAATTAGAAAATGAATAAACTTATCCACGACCATATTCTTCCAAACTTCTGTATTGGATGGCACTGACGACAGTACAGTAAGAATTTACGGAGGCCGCAAACATCAGTTTATATAGTGTATACGTTAGGCCCTGTGGATACGTCTAATTTAAAAACAAACAAAAAGGTTACTTCTACAATTTTAAGTTCAAATAAGAGCGTATCGGATGCTAGGACAGACTTACAAGGTCGTCCGCACACTTGCGAAATTCCTCCTCGACCTTTTCCTTCGCAGCTCTAATCTCAGCAAGTTCCTGACGAGAGAGTTCAAAATCGTTTTTAACGGCCTCTAAATCAGAGGTTAGAAGCTCTCTTCTTTCTTCTAAATCACTGAGAAATTAAAAATGTACGAAGAAGGATAAATGTGAGTGCATATAGCAGATGTGGAAAACGGTTTAAACAGCAAGTGTACACAAAGCTAATCGCGTATGCACGCAGACTCTAAAATCCCTTGAGATATCCTAGTAGTTGGAATAGCCATGAGATATTGGGAATTTCGTAGCTAAATGATGAATGATGCTCCGCAAGATTTTCCTGTGAATAGTTTCACAAAACAAGCTGGAAGGAATCCCGGCCATGATTTAAAGAAGGCAAATTTCCTTTAATTCTAGCCTCTAAACCTGGATGAAGCGCTCGTGCTTTTTGTGGGTAAATGTATTGGCAAACATAATGTCCTTGGATTCAACAACTTGTTGTATTCATCAGAAGCCTTGGCAAACAGATCGTGAACAGACATCCTCACTAAGAAGCTAGGGAACCAAAATTAACCAAAATATACTCAAGGAAAGCAGCATAATCTTTAAATGCTACAAAAAGAGTGCAAAGCCGTAACACATTTTATCCAGTTACCTAATCTTAAGAGGCCGAACAATTTACCAATCTCTTGAAACTTAGTAGTTTTTATACTTTTCCATGTAGTTTTAAAATTTACTGAGGTTTAATTCAGCAAGGCTTGTATAATAAATCATCGAGGCGTCGAAGGGCACGACAGATGCTTTGTCCATGAGGCTAACCGAAAATATGTTTCAGTAATAAAACTCACATACCAGCTTAGCTACACTGTTGTCGAAGGTTGACATTGGGAGGCATTTTAAGTAACTAGATTCTGGTAACTTGGTTTCGTTAACGAGTAAAGCCATGGCAACAGTGTTTATTTTCATGAACACAATTCCGGGTCCGAAGATAATTAAGGGGTTAGTTCGCAAAGTGAACCTTCTTTCTCCCGTGGTCATGTTACCGCTCCTAGAATCAATGTGATGGCGCTGGGTATGACATCGACTATGATGATACTGAACTGGTGACTGGTCGGTCAGTCAAAATGTTTAAGCCCTAAAAACAGCATAGTAAAAACCTTTTACTTATTTAGCACGTGCTGCGCGGCAGATTGTCACCATTTTGGCATAAATATATGCAGCTAATTTCTTTGTGGAGGACTATAGCCTGAGTAATAGCCGTCATGCCAGAAATGTACATACGTTGGGATTTAAGGAGTTCGATAAAACTAAATCGTTATTCGTGCAAAACCTTCCATTACGTATTACCCAAGAGCTCGTCCCGTTGACGCATCGTACCTCATCCCGCAACATGCCAATCCTTTTTTAACGATGGTGTCACGCGGTGGAACACGTCTATTGTCTAAGGTTTATCGTATAAAATATATTTATGTATGTTATCGACATCAAGTGTTGGGATACAAGCAACAAAAACTGCAACATGGACAACACTGAGAAAATACAAGTGCAACTTTGTATACTAGCCGGCTTCAATAATGTTACGGACGGTACCTCGCCATGTGTGACTTTTGGCGACAGCGGATCTGGGAAGCTCTATCCACCCTCCTCTCCAGCGACAGAGGCCAAAAACGGAAGGTCCAAGAACCGCTTCCATAACTTGACGAACAGTGTAGAGCTAAATCTTGAGTTGCTGTGGCGCTGAATTGAGGCAGCGTAGCAGTCCTCGAGAGTGACGACGGAGAACGGGCCCAAACCACCTTAGTCATCTTTCTCGGATGGCATGAGATATGCTCGCGATATTTTTGGATTGAGTGCGGGCTGTCTCATTTGAGATGAAATTGGTATACTTAATGCGAAGGATGGTCCTCGGGCAGCGGCGGTCAAATACCTAAAGCCTTTGCTCTTCTTCCATGCGCAAAGCCCAGCATTCACACTCATAGAGGGCTGACCGGACGGATGCACGGTACACAAGGATCTTCATGGCGATGGAGATGTTGCGTTGGATGCATAGGCGCTTTTGCAGGATGGAGAAAACCCGGCAAGCAGCATCGATCCGGGAGACAACGTCGTCCTTACTCTGTCCATTCGACAACAGCCTCGCCCAGGGGTTTTTAAACTGTCTACTTTAAGCTGACAGTCATTCACTGCGGGGGTGTCTTCTGGTCTTCTCCTGTCTTCTTAGGTATATATGGAGAAGTTGACCGACACAGCGATCTCATTCATCCGTGACACCACAGACTGTACATCACCAAAGCTTGAAGCTACTAAAGCGATATCATCGGCATAGTCGATATCAGTCAACCTGCGTCCGGGTGCAAGCTCAAATCCGTCATTTTTTACGTAGGTTCTTCTCGAGGACCAAAGTCTATGAAGTAATTGAATAGGATGGGCGACAAGACAGAGCCTTGCCGAACGCTAGACCGAATAGCGAACGGTTCTGAATGGTTGTTATGTACTAGAATCGACAAAGTGGTGGAACGGCAGTATATCTTGATCATGGCAATGATTTTGGTGGTATACCATCTAGTGCCATTATCCGCCATAGGTATTTACGAAGGAAGGACTCGAAAGCAGCGGTAAAGTCAACAAGGCAGACGGCCATTGGTAGCTACGGGAAATCCAAAGATGCACCTGAGTGTGAACATCTGCTCCGCAAATTAACGCCCAGCCCCACTAGTCCCCGCGTACAAGTGAGACGTTAAACCGACGAAGCAGAACAATTTGACATATCAATCAGCTATCAGTGGTATGTCTACAGTCAACGGAGAGACATGTTTCCACATCTGACTTTTTAATTTTGCACCAGCCTTGGTTTTAGAAGCACGCTCTGGAGATGTGGCCAATGTTCACGTTCCACTGCCAGCAAAAGGGTACTCACAGCGCACCATGTGATGCACAGTCCCATAAGCCAACTCATATACTCGCTAACTGACTATTCACGGACATCCGAACCAGTTGGTTTCCAAGGAGGTCTTCTAAAAACAGAAAACTAGAAAGTGGTCTATTCGAAGGGAAACATCCCGACTAGTGGTCAAGTTACCCAACGAACGTTGTGCAAAATGTTGGGATTGCTGCCTATTTAGCTGTCCACAATGGAAGATATCAAAGGAGACTAAATAAAAATTAGCAGCAGGTGGACAGAACCATATCAGACGTAACAACTGCCCACTTGAAGCTACTCGGAAAGTTTTATGGGAATAAAATGCACCAAAAGCATGCAGAACATTATATATCAGTTTTCTCATTTGCAAATTGTTCAGTTAGATAAATAAATATCACTTACTCGATCCTGGCTCGTTGTTGGCTCAACTGTAACTGAATGGTTTGGTAATTATCGGCATCGATAAAGATTCCTGTCTTAGAACGAGAGGCCTCCAGATCGCGCCTGAGACGTTCAAGTTCTTCGTTATACCCTTTGATCAGCTCTTTTTTGTTAAGTTTTTGGTTTATTTCGGGTCGGTTCTGTATGTTCTTTGCTCGGTGAGCGTAGTCCAATGTGGACAAGGTCTCTTCAAGGCACGAGTTCGCGGGGCTCACTGTAGCAATTATTGATGTTTTGGTGCGACCACCCAAAGAATCCTGTTGAAGTTTTTGTTGAATAAAGGGTTTTTACCTGTAACAAACGTGTTAGTTTGCTTTCACGATATGGAATATGCGGAGCATGGTCGACGAGACAAGTTATAACACGGCCTAGGGTGAGAAGACTCTGATTTATCGATCCGGCCTCCCGAGCCCGCTTGTCCAAAGCACCAGATCTACCTATATTTTCACTTCCAGCCAAGTCAACTAGATTTAATTTCCCTATTTTGAGGAAAACCTCTCCATCTTTAGGGCAAATCTCTTTGATGTGAACGGTCACAGTAAAAACGGAGTGCGAACGGCTAAAAATAACTAGTTGTAAAATAGGTTACCTAGACTGAGCATTCAATATAGTGCAGGCTGTTTGACGTCGGGCAAGTCCTCTTTCCAGGATATCATAAACCTCCTCCTTGTTCAGGACCGCGACCTCCCTGAGGCCTTTCACTACCACCGATCCCTTTCGTGTGGAGTCATCATATATAGTTAAACGAGCGCAATCATCATTCGATCCAAGCAAGTCGAA